CATTTGTTTAAGTTACAAAAAAAATCGCTGTTTGACATTCATCAATGCAGATGATTTAGTAGGAACTCCCACTTGGACCATAAGCCCTGCCGTTTAGACTGTATGTGACAAGGCAACCAAGCGTGACTCCAGGTCAACTCCGTTAGTACAAAGTTCACTGTAGGAAGCAACACTAACACTGGTGTTTTTGCTTAGAAAAGCATGGCAAGTATTTTGAAGTTTTGCTTTCGGTCCAACAGGAAACATAAATGATTTTTCGGGCAATATTTCCGTGATGTAGAGGGCTATTACATTTCACATAGACCAGAGTAATCCTTCTCTGATACAAGTTCCATCGCAAAGGATAATACCACTAAAGAGCTCTTTGTGGAGGATCGGATGACCAACACAGGGAATGCTTCGCTGATCTGGTTGTAAGCAACACCTCTGGCGACAGCTTTTTAAATTATCACCTCTAAGGAAAGGAAGTAACCCTGAGGCTTACAGTTCAGAGAAGCTGAGTTATAACGGTGCATATATAGTTTTCGGTCCTGCTATCAGGCAACAATTATCGTTCAGTTCGTCTCTTCCTCTAAACAACAAAATCACCTAAACAAAGACTATCCAAGCTATCTACCACAATTAAAACTTGGGGGAAACATCTAGGAAGAGAAGAAAAAGGAGTAGAAGTAGTAATGTGTGTTTAACACCTTCTCCAAAGTACCTTTTCTCCCTTGCTCATTTACCGCAAAGAAGCTTGGCACAGCTGTTTCAGCTCTAGATCCTAAAGCCTGGGAATCAGATTTCTAGCAATGCATTCAATTTCACATTTCAATGGAACTAAATAATTTGGAGACATCTTTAAATACATCCTGATGGAAATTTCCCTGTGTGATACCATCACTTGCCTCTCTAGCTTAAATGTTAGTCGTTTTCAATTTCTCTCTTTCTTCTCCAATACATCACCTACTTACCCCATTTCCTCTCTCTATTCTATCTTGAAACATTACCTTTCCTTCATTTCAATAACCCGAGAGCAGGATGCTGGATTAAAACAACTGTCTCTTGCAGAGCTTCCCTTCAATTCGTATCGCCTTCATTTCTACATAAAGCAATAAGAATTATCTGCCACAAACAGCTGTTTTCAGTAATAAGAAAGCTAAGTTCTGTGACTAAGCTAAACATCCCTTCTGTTCTTCAAGGCCTACAATGGTTCCTAGTCGCATCAAATCGAAATTTCCAAATACCGCTCATTACGTCCTTTACGAACGGTGCTGAGTATTCTCAGTGATCTGTCCACATTTTTCTACATATTCAAATTTATGGTCTCGATTCCATTTAGTCTGACAACTATGTATTAACATGATTAATTCGTTTCTTGTTTGTATTCTTTGCCACTACAGTAGGGACTATTTACTCTTCCCTGTATTTATTCTTTCCTTCTCCTTAACCACAGCTTCTCTGTCTTTCATTGGAGCACATAGCTGTCCCATATAAAGACTACATTTTCAGCAGTGTCCATGTGACTAAATGCTAAACAACATGTAAGCCAAAAAGGTTATGAGCAACTTCAAGAAGTGTCCTTAAAGGGAAGGAGTATTCATATTTTCCATCTCTCCTCCTTCCTACTGGCTAGAATGCAGATGTGATGGCTGGTGCTCCAGCAGCTATCTTGGATCAGGAAGTGGAAGTTCCATGCTGAGTCTGATGGAGCAGTGAGACAGAAAGAGCCCTGGGTCCCCGACATCATGAAGAGCCACATCAGTCCTAGAATATCTAGTTGTTGGTTCTTTTTAGAAGAAAGAAAAAAGAAAATCCTTTTGTGTTCAAGCCATTAACATTTTTGTGGCCTCTTCTACTATCACTTATGGGAATACCTAATTCTGATAGATCCACCTATCTCCAAGTCTTCATTTGCTACGTCTTCTGTCCCACTAAAAATGCCCCTCCAATTTATTTTCCTACCTCCCTCCCCCACCCACACACACCAAATTGTCAGTTTCCTTTCCTCCTTTAAAATACAGCTTCAGATTCAAATGCCTACATGGAAATGGCTAGTATTGCTAAGCTTATTTAATCCAATTACTATTTTTGAACACAAACACACACATCTACATATCCCGTATGTATATGTGTATACATGCATAGTGATGGATAAATGAAATTTTTAGGTAATTTAACAGATTTTTAATAAATTTACCACATTTTTACATCCAAACATTCACTACTCATTTGAAATAGTACTCTCACTACAAATTCATTTCAATGATGCCATCATCACTAAAACTTCTTGAACATTTTTTTTTAAAACAGACTGAAAGTCCTCACTCGATATAACCCCCAAGACAGCAGAAAATACATTCACTTTGGTTCCCAGGCCTAGAACAGTATCTGGAACACAATAAATACTCAACACATGCTTGTGATATATATATAAAAAAAAATTAACTGTAGCAAAACTTCATTTAAAGGTAGATAGACTATTTAAAAGTTGTCAAAAGGCATTCTAACCTCAGTTTAGTGAATAAGATGGGTCAGAAAGCTATAAAATATCATTTGGGGTTAGAAAAAAAAGCAGTGACGATAATGCAATAATACTTGATTTCCTTGGATGAATCATAAAAATGGCTCAGAGCTCAGCTACTTCTGTAGCAGTTGAAAGACTCACTTCCTAAGCTTCAGTCAAGTATGCCAAACTTATTCCAGTTTCAGAACTGTTTGCACCTGCTGTTCCCTTTGCCTGGAACCCCCCAGATACACGTGGATTGTTTCCTTCTTCATTTGAGTCTCTGTTTACATATTCACCTCCTCCAAAAGGCCTTCCCTTACTTCTTTGACCTAAAGAAAGTCATCTTTATCGCTCTCTGTCCCGATACTGCCTTCCTTTTCTTTATAGGACTTGTCACGAACGTAATATTTTAGATCTATTTCATTTATGTGTGGTTAGTATCTGTCTCTGTCACCAAAATATTTGCTCCATGATGAAAGGGACTATGTTTTATTCACTGCTATAGCTCCAAATTTCCACTTGATAGCCAAATTTCAAATTTCAAATGTTCAAATTATTTGAACATTAATGTAAGTTTATAATGAAAGAGAAAGGGGGGGGTTCCTGGGTGGCTCAGTACTTTCAACATCCGACTCTTGATTTCGGCTCAGGTCATGATCTCACGGTTCATGGGATTGAGCCCCACATTGGTCTCTGTGCTGACAGCATGGAGCCTGCTTAGAATTCTCTCTTTCCCCCTCTCTCTCTGCTCCTACCCTGATCACACACTTGTGCTCTCGCTCTCTCTCTCTCAAAATAAATAAATAAACTTAAAAAAAAAAAAAAAAAGAAAGAGAAAGGAAGTGAGAAAAGCAATGGAGGCAGGAAGACCAAGAAAGGTTACAGAAATAGCAAAAGGGGTGAAGACTCTGGGTGAGTTATAATTGGCTGTTTTATTCTGTTACTCCTATTAGTTTGAGTTGAAGGCTTCCGTGAGAAAATTGCAGAATGGGTCTCCATCTCTCCTAGAAGTTTATTTCGAAGGAACGGCTAACCTAAAGAAAGAGATTCCACTATGTTTAGAAGCATGTGGATGGCATTTACTATCCTTTCCTGCCTTTCCACATCTCCAGGCCACACAAATACAAACTGAGTGAACATTCGAGAACTCCTGACCGAGTCGGAGAAGTACTTTCGTGATTTTTAGCAGGATTAGTCTGTGTTGGTATTATTATTCACACTTTTAATTTCCATACGTAACTGACATTTGAAACATCTGTTCATCCTGAACACCTGAAGTTCTTTCAGGATCTTGCTTAATCAAGTTACATGATAAAGCCAGGAGGCAAGCCTCTGAAAATACTTTTAATTCCATTCTACTCCTGCTACATCCCTCACAAAGTTTCATCCCTTTCGAGTCACATTTCTTTAATGCTTTTGCTTCCTCAAACTGTCCATTCCTTATACAAAACTTATCGGCGGGGTTTGTACCACAGAAGATCAAACACAATGATATTCCGTTACATTTTAGTAAATTTAGTAGAAAAGATCATTGCATCTTCCTGCTGATTTCTATCATAACATCACAAAGAATTCCCTTTTTTTAATGTTTCTTTTATTAAAAAAAATTTTTTTTTACATTTATTTATTTTTGAGAGACAGAGAGAGACAGAGCACAAGTGGGGGAGGGGCAGAGATAGAAGGAGGCACAGAATCCGAGGCAGGCTCCAGGCTCTGAGCTGTCAGCACAGAGCCCGATGTGGGGCTCGAACTCAAGGAGTGTGAGATCATAACCTGAGCCGAAGTCGGACGCTTAACCGACTGAGCCACCCAGGTGCCCCTGTTTATTTTCTATTTTTGAGAGAGAGCAAGGGAATTGGGGAGGGGCAGAGAGAGGGGGACAGAGGATCTGAAGCGGGCTCTGTGCTGATGGTACACAGCCCGATGTGGGGCTCAAGCTTGCAAACCATGAGGTCATGACCTGGGCCAAAGTCGGACGCTTAACCAACGGAGCCACCCAAATGCCCCCAAAGAAATCTTTTTTAAAAAGTTTGGTTCATATTTAAAATTTTAGGCCAAGGAAAGGGTTATATAACACAAGGTACTGTCTCATAATAGTTTTAGAGCACTTTCAGAATTCCGAGGCACATTTAAGAAAATGTCAGTTTCTCGACCGGTAGGAGCAAACAGCACAAAATGCACAGACACCCAGACCCTGAGTCTCCCGTTTCAGTGATGATCAAAATCTTAAAGTGAATCATGATGCCAAATACGTAAGTCACTACTTGAATACCCTTCAAGCCCCCAAATCCCATTTTATGTGAATCCCAGATAATTGCATTCAGAAAATGGTCATACATTTTTCCACTGAGTATTATTCTTCGTCTTTGTTTCGAACAGCATGACGCCTAATACAGTAATGGTGGCACTTATGTTGTATTAATACCTCAGAACTAAACCCCAACGTTTTCTATTTTTTCGTTGCTCTTAAATGATACCTACTACATTCGGGGCCAACGTTCATGATACGTACTTGTATTACGTTGCCTTGCAACCTTAAGAAGCTTACGCTTCCTCTCCAAGGCAGGGATTTCTGGTGTGTGGGCAGAGGCACATACTGCTGGGGTGTTAGCCGTACCAGGTAATCTTTTAGGAAATGTCACGGAGTGGGAGGTTCGCTGCCTCGTCCGACACGCTGCCTCCCTCTCTCTGCGCAGCAGCTCTTCATCCACCAGCAGTGTCATGACTTGCTTAGACTTTTCCCGGATATGATAGCCTGAAAAACACGTTGGCTTTGCGTCGGTAAGAAAATACGCCTTAGGGAGGCGAGGACTTTTTATTCTACAGAAAATTAGGGGGGAAAATGTAAGCAACGTAAGCAAAGTGAAAAAAAATCTGTAGCAAACGTACAAGGAAACCTAAGTCCCGTGGGAATTGTCAGTAAGTGCCCTTTTCTGATACTTTAAGAAGTGAACGAGTATATGATTAAATCGTATCACCATATTGACATGAAATTCTGCACTTTATTTTTTTAATACTTATTCATTTTTGAGAGAGAGAGAAAGAGAAAGAGAGAGAGAGTGAGCTCGTGGGAGCAGGGGAGGGGCACAGAGAGAGGGAGACACAGAATCCGAAGCAGGCTCCAGGCTCTGAGCTGTCAGCACAGAGCCCACGTGGCACTTGAACTCACGAGCCGTGAGATCATGACCTGAGCCGAAGTCAGACGCCCAACTGACTGAGTCACCCAGGCACCCCGCTCCCCGACATTTTGCACTTTAAATATGCTATTTCTTTTTAAAAGCAATACATACTCTATAATCAAATTATATAGGTGTAAAAGAGGAGGAATGAATTATACCTAGATTTACTGACCTGGATGTGTGACCATGACATAGAGCTAAAGATTTAAAGTAATATGCACGGTATGATTCAAATCTGGAAAGCACAAGGGAAAATCAAGCATTATGTATGTATCCAGGAGAGAGAAGTAGAGAAATATATGGATGGCTGGATGGATGATGGATGGGCAGGCAGACAGCCAGCTGTGTACCCACAACATTGTTAACATCCGTTACGTTAAAGGGGTACAATCGGGGCGGAGAAGAGTAGGGATTGATTGCCCTAATCAGATTTTCTTTGACATAACATCCTATCAAAACAACTTGATGCCATTAATAGAGTGCCAGACGAATAGTCTAAGATCAGAATCCTAACCAAGACGCTGTCCTTAACCATCTGTGTGACTCTCAGTTAGGTCATCTGTCTGGGCTTGAGGTTTCCATGTGAAAACCAGGAGAAGCAGATCTATTCAGTGTAACTCACAGATACAAAAGTATACCTGTTCGAATATATAGTATCGTTACTACAATTCTCAACCCCCTCCCAGGAGAAATGATCAACGAAAATCACTTACCTTTCCACATCTTGAGACAAACTCGTATTATCTCCTGTCTTCCCAAGCCTTCTTCCAGAAGTAAACTGAAAAGTCTCTAAGGAGCCACTACTATGTTCATTTTGGGCTCCAAGTGTGATGAATTAAAGTGTTAATGTATCCAATTATAACTTATTGGTAGTAGGAATAATGAGAAATGGTCAACTGCATGGTGTATGCAGACGAAAGAGGTCAACACGTTCTGGGCCAGTCGTTTCATTAAGGACTGCTGAGGACAGTGTCGGAAACCTTTGCTCAAGTTGCCATCTTTTCCAAGATTGTTTTATCTACCCGTTTTTTAAAAATTTTTTCTAACGTTTATTTATTTTTGAGACAGAGAGAGACAGAGCATGAATGGGGGAGGGTCAGAGAGAGAGGGAGACACAGAATCCGAAGCAGGCTCCAGGCCCTGAGCGGTCAGCCCAGAGCCCGACGCGGGGCTCGAACCCACGGACGGCGAGATCATGACCTGAGCTGAAGTCGGACGCTTAACCGACCGAGCCACCCAGGCACCCCTATTTTATCTACTCTTAATCTCACTTTAGTCACTTCTTCCTTCCAAACTTCTTTTGTAACTGCTGCAAACCATATCGTTCTCAATACCCTTAATTTCCTATGATTAATGTGTAGCCCATAAACAACAAAAAAAAATCTCACGGTGTTTTATGCTACCACTCAGTGTCGCACGACAGAAGCCTGCTGTGACTGTCAGCCTCTGGGGACAGGCGACATGCCAGACACTACTTTCCCCTGGAAAACTGCCACAGCTCTGTTTGGAGGAAGGGGTGAAAACCTTCACAAACTCATCTCCTTCTGCTTCCCCTCTCCCCCTCTACCCTAGCGACCCCGACTGCCTTATTCTTCAATTACACCAGGCTCTTTATCTCCTTCAAGCCCTGGGCTAGCTGTCGCTTCTGTCAGGGACTGTGCATGGATAGGTCCCCAATTCATTCAAGTCTCTACTCAAATGTCACCTCCTCATAGAAGCCTTCCTTCTTCCCACCCTCTCTAAAATAGTCCCATCCCCATCACTCTCTATTCCCTTACCTGTTTTATCACCACCTGCTATTGGTATACACAGGTTTGCACACACGAACACACACACACACACACACACACACACACACACGTTTACTTGTTTACTGTTCATTTCCTTACCTAGAATACAAGCTCCATGAGGGCAGAGAACCTCATTCACCCAGTATCTCCAGTGGCTGGAAGAATGATTGGCACATAAAAGCTACTCAATAAATAGCTACTGAGTAAATGAATCGATAAAGGAGCAAATTCCGAAAAGTCTCAATATTCTCCTTTCTACAGTGCAAATGGAACCAGAAGGGTGACAGACACTAAGCGCCGACTTACAGCGTAGCTGCCTGAGAAAGTTGCTTGGCCTGAAATAGTTTTTTGCGACACCCCTAACTAGAAAAGGGCAGAACGAGAAGTTACGGGACAGACGGGGATTCTTTGACTTGGAGGCTGCGTGAATTGGCGGGACTTAAAAGCAGCTGCAAAAGTTCAAAGGTCCGAGCAGATCCGTGAAGCAGAAAGCCAGCCACGATGACGAAGCACTTCTCCCCGAAATATCAGGGCTCCTCCCTGAGGCAGCAGTCTACGGCACTGGGAAGGTCAAGCCACAGTACTCCACTTCTCACTCAAGGCCGCCCACGGCCCTGGCTACCTGCCCACACCCATCCTTGAGATGCCGGAGGGTAGAAACCCGGCTGTTCTCAAGCGTTAAAGTTGAAAAAATCCAAGAACCCAATAAACCGGCTTCAAGGGTGAATTAACTAATAACAATGGTAATAACAGGATGGCATCTCCTCACTGCGAAGCAATGTGTTTCTGAAAGGAAAGGGAGAACATAGTACTAAAACAGACTTGTACTGGAATAGAACAAACGTAGGCAGCACCTGCTCTGGGTCTGAAAGAGAGAAAGAAAAAGAAGGGGGGAGAAGTTGGGAGGGTGAGGGACAGAGACAGACAAAGGGAGGGAGCAAACATGGAGTCTCTGAAAAGAGAAATATGAAACAGATTGATACCGAAGGATACGTCAAGACGTAAAGCTTGTTAGAAGAGGTGAAAGGTAACGTAAAAATGAAGCTACGTTCCGTTTTAACAGGCATCTTTGGGTTATAAGCGACAGAAACTCAAATTGAACCGGCCATGGGAAAAGCAGGGGTTGTGCCTGGGCCTCAGGCACAGGAGAGGCAGAGACTGGAAAAGTACCAGCACACTTTTTCCGTCTCCCATCCTTTCTTCTCTGTGTGTAATGTCTTCATTTTCTCCTCTTGCAGACTGGCTTCCTCCACCTGAATGTGGACACAGCCACAGACAGCTCTGGACTCACGCCTCACACTGTGCCACCTGAGAGGCCTCCCTCTTCCTTCATTCAAATTGGAAAAATCCAGGAGAATGACGCTGCTCGGCCCAGCCTGAAAGTCACATGCCCGTTACCTTGGCCAGAGGGTGGGATGCTACCACTGGCAACCCCCCATCAGAAAGGCATGGTGGAACGAGGGGAGAGTCAACAGGACAGAAGAATGAACCAACAGAAAGCCAACTTGCGGAGGCTTCCCAAACTCGAGGCCGAGGCCGAGGACATACAAATCACTAGAGCGACTAAGGGACAGACCGATATCCAAGGATATTCACTTATTCGCTTATGCAGTATTTAATCATTTCTTGAACATTTCAGTTTCAGGAATTGTCTAGAAGCACAAGTGAGGACAAAAGAGACGAGATCCCCACACGAGATAATTCCAGATAAAAATAAAAGCTCTAAAGGAAATAAAGAACAGTGAGGTGCTGAACATCAAGCCGTGGTGAAGGGAAGGAAAGTCGTACTGGGGACATAACGTATCATCTGAGCCTTGAACAGCAAGGGAAAGCCAGCTGTGCGGACATTCAGGCAGAGGGAACCGCCCTGATTTCCCTTCTTCAGGAAGCCTTCTACTGAGAGAGAGCAAGCCCCTCCAGGCTCACCCTACACACACGTGGTCGAGCCGGGTTTCCACGCAACTCTCATGGTATCTACGCTTGTCTCTTACAGCACTTGCACGGTTCGCAATTGCCTATTTATTTGCTGAATGTCTTGTTCCTCCACTAAAGCACAACGTCCATGAAGGCCAGAGCTATACCTGTTTGTTAAGATACTTCAGAAGTGTCTGCGAAATAAATGAGTGAACGTGCTGAGGAAACATCTTCCAGATGCAGGGGAGGAATCTCTGTAAATTCACAAAGGAACATCACATAAAGGGATTTGGAAATGTGGTAAATTCAAAGATGCCGGGCAAAGAGATGCACCAGGCTTCTAGAAGAACATGCACTAGGCTTGGAACAGTGGTCATAAAACATCTTAACGCCCCTCCCTCCATACCTGACCCACTCACCAATCAAAATTTACTCTTCCTCCTCCATGCCTTTCTCAGTCAAGTTGATCTCCATTCTAAGCCTGAAATATGAACATTCACCTCCCCAGAGGCAGTAACCCGTGTCCACTGATGGTACCCACTAAATCTTCCCCCCCCTCGCTGTGTCCCTCAGTTCAGGCCCTGCTCATTTCCTGCCCGCCGTGTTTCGAATTATGGACTTATCTGGAGTCTCCCTCGCCATCTGTGCTCCACAGTGTCTCCAGGCGCGAGGGGGTGTGGGGTCGGGAGAAGCACCCCCAGCAGTGTATCTGATCAAGGTATTTTCCAGTTAAAAAAAAGACCCTCGGTCAAGTTGGCACAGTAAAGTCAAGCTTCAAAGTACCCCTCTGCTCCGCAACAAATACACAGCGCTAACAGACACTGCCAGGCTCCAAAACAAGATAGAAACCTCCACAAACCAGAAACGGAAGA